ATGGTGCGTGCCTGTCATTCCAACTACTTGGGAGGCTGAGGTAGAAGAATCGCTTGCCAAGAGGCAGAGGCTGCAGTGAGCCAAGATCGCGCCACTGCAATCTCTGTCTCAAAATAAAATAAAAATAAAAAAATAAAAACAAACATAAAAAAAAAAAAACACAGATCACGGCTGGGTATGGTGGCTCACGCCTGCAATCCCAGCACTTTGGGTGGCCAAAGTGAGAGGATCACTTCAGTCCAGGAGTTCAAGACCAGCCTGGCAATCTAGTGAGACCCTGTCTCTATTTTAATATAAATAAATAAATAAAAATAAAACATGAATCCAGTCATATCACTCAGCCCAAAATTCTCAACATTACATCACCCACTACCTACTCAATAGGATACAGTCTAAATTCCATATACTGGTTTATAAGGCCCTCATCTTTCCTCACCCTCTGCCCTCCTCTTTCCTATCCTACCATCCAGCTGTATAGAACTGCTTGCATGTCCCCACACACTCTGCATTTCATTTCTCTGCAACTTTGCATTGGCAGATCTCATTGCTTGGAGTGCCCTTCCCTGCTTCTTTCACCTGGGGAATCCTACACGTCCTTCAAGTCCCAACTTAGATGTCCTCCTCTCTGAAGCCTTCCTTGTTCGGGCACTCCCTCTCCTGAACTCTCAAAGCACTCTGTTTTGACATCTTGAACATAAGCTACTATGTGAGTCTCCTGTGCTGGACTGTGTGCGCTTTGAGGATGGAGATTGGGCTTTATTCTATTTTGTGTATTTCCAGGCCTAGAACAGGACCTTGCTTGGTCAAATGAGTAAATGAATAAATATTCTAGATTTGTGCTGTCCAATACAGTAGCCACAAGCCACATGTGGCTACTGAGCCCCTGAAATGTGACTGCTCCAAATTGAGATGTCCTGTAAAGTACACACTGTATTTCAAAAACTTAGTGTGAAAAAAGAGTAAAATATATCATCCATAATTTTTTTTTTTTTTTTGAGACAAAGTTTCACTCGTCGCCCAGGTTGGAGAGCAGTGGTATGATCTCGGCTCACTGCAACCTCCAGCTCCCGGTTCAAGCGATTCTCCTGCCTCAGCCTCCCGACTAGCTGGGATTACAGGCACGTGCCACCATGTCAAGCTAATTTTTTGTATTTTTAGTAGGGACAGGGTTTCACTATGTTGGCCAGGCTGGTCTTGAACTCCTGACCTCAGGTGATCCGCCGGCCTCGGCCTCCCAAAGTGCTGGGATTACAGGCGTCAGCCACTGCACCTGGCTGATAATTTTTTATGTTGACTATTCAAACAATATTTTGCATATATTGAGTTAAATTTATTACTAAAATTAATTTCACCTGTCTCTTTCTATACTTTTAATGTGGTTACTGGGAAATTATTTTTAAATTTTTATTTATTTTTGTTTTAGAGACTGAGTCTCACTCTGTTGCTCAGGCTGGAGTGCAGTGGCACAATTCTTGCTCACTGCAGTCTCAAACGCCTGGGCTCAAGTGATCCTCCTGCCTTAGCCTCCCAAGTAGGTGGGACTATGGGAGTGAACCACCACAGCTGGCTAATTTTCTAATTTTATAAATTTTTTTGTAGAGATGGGAGACTCACTATGTTGCTCAGGCTGGTCTCAAACTCTTGAACTCCACCTCCCAAAATGTTGGGATTACAGGTGTGAGCCACAGTGCCCAGCCTGGACATTTCTGAATGACATGTGTGCTGGTCTCCCAGCCTTCTATTTGCCTCTCTTGGTTTAAACCATTCTGCACACCGTAGTCAGATGATCCTGTGAAATGTCAGTCGAATCATATAAGTTGCCACAGACACTGAATTAAGCAAATATTGAACCACTGCTTCTGGGGGAACAACCTAGGTTCCTGTGAGCCTGTGGACACAACATTTTTGTCAACCAATCAATACATAACCTTGTTTTCTGGGTGTTTGTGTTTAAAGGCAACTTAGTTAATATATATTGTTGATTCAGGGCAATTGAACTCAGTTGCCTGCACCAAGCTAACTGAGCACAGCTGTTCTCTTTGTAACGCACATCACCACCTTCTCGCACTTAGGAACGCTGGACAGCACTTCTGCACAACACTGAGGGACATTTTAAACGGCAGAATCACCAACAAAAAGCGTAAAAATGAGAAAAAGATGACACTAAATAGACCAAAAAGGAGACCTGTAGGCAGCGCTGCCCTGTCATTTTTAGAGACAGGGTCTCGCTCTGTTGCCCAGGCTGGAGTGCAGTGGCACAATCCCAGCTCACAGCAGCCCTGACCTGCTGGGTTGAAGTGATTCTCCCACCTCAGCCTCCAGAGTGGCTGGGACGGAAGGCGAGTGCCACCATGCCAGGCCAGTGTTGCCTTATTTGACCTCGGCGGAGAATGTGCAGGATCGTTATGTCCACGAATGAATGAGAAAGCACCACAAGTATTGATTTTGGGATTAGAAATAAATGTTAGTGAGTAGGCAAATTTGCAAACACAAAACCCGTAAATAATGAAGATTGATTGTAACTCTACTGCTTAAAACTCTTCGAGGACTTTAAATTCCACTTGCAATAGAATCCAAACTCCAGCCAGGTACGGTGGCTTATGCCTGTAGTCCCAGCTACTCGGGAGGCTGAGGCGGGAGGACTGCTGGAGCTTAGGAGTTCACAGTCATAGTGAGTTATGATCATGCCACTGTACTCCAGCCTGGGTGTCAGATCAAGATCCCATCTCAAAAAAAGAAAGAAGAATCCAGAGTTTTGTTTTCTTTTGAGACAGTCTTGCTCTGTTTCCCAGGCTGGAGCCAAGTGGTGTGATCTTGGCTCACTGCAACTTCTGCCTCCTAGGTTCAAGCAATTCTCCTGCCTCAGCCTCCCAAGTAGCTGGGATTACAGGCACGTGGGCCCGGCTAATTTTTGTATTTTTAATAGAGACGGGGTTTCACCGTGTTGGCGAGGCTGGTCTCGAACTCCTGACCTCAAGTGATCCGCCTGCCTTGGCCTCCCAAAGTGCTGGGATTACAGGCGTGCGCCACCATGCCTGGCCAGAGTTCTTAAAATGACCTACAAATCTCAACATGATTTGGATCTAGCCTGCCCCACTGACATCCTCACCTTGCTGACTCTCTCACCCAAGGCAATCTCTCCTTCTGGAATGCCCTTCCAGAACAGAATGTCTTTTCAATTTCATGCGTCTGCCTCAGCATCACCTTTTCTGAGAGGCCTTTTCTAACCTCCCTGTCTAGAGGCCCCACCCTGTAACTCTCTTAGGGAATCCCTTCCTCTCCTTCACAGTCCTGGGCATTTTGTGGTTTCCTTGTATACTGTCTGTAAGAAAGGAAGTGCCTGAGCAAGTAGCCACCCAGTGGGTTCATCTTCCTGGCTGCCCAGATAGAGCCAACGTATCAAGACAGGGGAACTGCAACAGAGAGAGTTAGTTTAATCCACACAGAGCTTCCTGAATGGGAGACCAAAGTTTTATTACTGAAATCAGTCTCTCTGAAAATTCAGAGCCTAGAGTTTTTAAAGGGTAATTTGGCAGATAAGCTGCCAAGGAGCAGGGAGTGCTGATTGGTGGGGTGGGAGATGAAATCACAGGGTGTTGAAGGATGCAAGAACTGGTTGAGTCAGATTATAGGTCTGGGTGGCCTTGGCTGGTGCATCAGAATGCAGGGTCAGAAAAATACCTAAGAGTACTAATCTTAGGTTTTACAATAGTGATATTACACCTAGGATCAACTGGGGAGTTTTAGAATCTTGTGGCCTCTGGGTGCATGACTCCTAAACCATAATTTCTTTCTTTCTTTTCTTTTTTATTTTTTTGAGATGGAGTCTCAGTCTGTCGCTCAGGCTGGAGTGCAGAGGCATAATCTCAGCTCACTGCTACCTCCGTCTCCTGGATTCAAGCAATTCTTGGGCTTCAGTCTCCCTAGTCGTTGGGATTACAGGTGCGTGCCACCATACCCAGCTAATTTTTTTTTTTTTTTTTTTTTTGAGACGGAGTCTCACCCTGTTGCCCAGGCTGGAGTGCAGTGGCGCGATCTCAGCTCACTGCAAGCTCCGCCTCCCGGGTTCCCGCCATTCTCCTGCCTCAGCCTCCTGAGTAGCTGGGACTACAGGCGCCCGCCACCGCGCCCGGCTAATTTTTTGTATTTTTAGTAGAGACGGGGTTTCACTGTGGTCTCGATCTCCTGACCTTGTGATCCGCCCGCCTCGGCCTCCCAAAGTGCTGGGATTACAGGCTTGAGCCACCGCGCCCGGCCTAATTTTTGTATTTTTAAATAGAGACAGGGTTTTACCATGTTGGCCAGGCTGGTCTCCAACTCCTGACCTCAAGTGATTCACCTGTGTCAGCCTTCCAAAGTGCTGGGATTACAGGTGTGAGCCACTGAGCTGGGCCCTAAACCATAATTTCTAACTTTGTAGCTAATGTTAGTCTTACAAAGGAAACCTGGTTCTCAGGCAAGAAGGGGGTTTGTTTTGGGAAAGGGCTGTTACTTTGTTTCAATATTAAACTATAAACTAAGTTGCTCCCAAAGTTAGTTCCGCCTATGCCTAGGAATGTACAACGACAACCTGGAGGTTAGAAGCAAAATGGAGTGGGTTAGCTCAGCTCTCTTTCACTGTCATAATTTTACGTTGTAATTTTTGCAAAGGCAGTTTCAAGCGCAGAGACAGTGACTGTGTGGTTCAAGGTTTTATGTAATGCACCTCCCAAACTCAATAAATATTAGTCGCATAAAGGAAAAACATGCAGCCCTGGAGGAAGATGCCCTGTTGCTGGCATGGGTGAAGAAGAGGCACTCACAGGGAGGGTTCTTTCCCTGTTCGCCAGCCTCGTATACACTGGGCAAACAGGCCCCGAACATCCCACGTGCTCAGCCCCTGCTCCACGCCAAATCGCCTTCCCTCCCACTGACGTAACCACGGCGCATCACGTGCCTCCCGAGACCCCGCCCCCCGCCGTGACGCCCAGGGCCTCGGCCCTGGTCCAAAGTCTACCCGCCTCCTTGTGACAGAAGTGCGACCGCCAGCTGCCGAGGCGTTCGGTCCTGCCGCTGCCCCAGGGCTGCGGGGACGGTGAGTCGCCGGGACGCATTCGGAGACGGCTTCACGGGGGAGCCCTCCTCCCCGGGGTAACGGTCTGGGCGCCGAGCCCCTCAGGTCGTGGCGTGACCTCGGATTGTGGCGACCCCTCCCCGTCCCAGCCCGTGGCGCCTGCGCGGTGCATGCTGGGCACCGTAGTCCCTAGTATCAGAGCGCGCTGGGGGTCGACCGGGCGGACTACAAGTCCTAGAAGCCTCTGGGCGGTGGGGCTAGGCCGGGTGGGGGGGGGTTCATTGTGCGCGCAAAGCCCCGCGGGGCTGAGGGTCTTGTACTCTCCCGGCTCCTGTCGGGACTCAGGCACCTTTCAGCGTTCGGCCGGCTTCGGGCACCGGGCTTCTGGAGGTAAAGCAGGGCCGGCGGTTGGGGCGCGGCATGGCGGGGCCCGTCCTCTCCTCGGGGCGCTGCCGAGACCTAGCGCGGCCCTGGGGGTGTCGAAGACGCTGCGGTGGCTGGGCCGGGCGGGCGCCCTGCTATGTGCCGCGGGGTTGTGCGCCTGGAATGGCAGCCTGCTCGCCCGCACGGTTTTCTGTCAGAGAAGGTTGTGGAAATTGCCATCTCCGTCTTGCAGTGCGAGACGCGGAGAAGAGGGGCGGGAGTTGTTTTCTCAAGGAAAGGGGGTCGGGGAGGAGCCCCGTGGCGGAGCCAGCCCCTGCCGAACCCAGCGGGTGACCTTGGCCGTCCCGGAGCCCAGCAGCGTCCTGCACCCGCGCCGGGCTTGCCGACGTGTGGAGTCGAGATGTGGCGCTCGGCCGCGCATCCCTGGCGGAGATGGCGACGGCCTGGCCTGGGTTTGGGCTAGGAGTCGCGCCTTCGAGGACCTTGGCTTAGCGAGTTCCTGGGGGGCTTCTCAACAGGTGTTAGGTGAGATGGGGCGAGCGGCTGTGAGTTCCTGCAAAGGTGGGTTCAAGATCTTCTGCGTCAGAACCACCGGGGGCTCTTGGGAAACGGGCAGATTCCTGGGCCCCACCCCAGGTGTTGCGATTCTGTAGTTCCGGCGCGCGGCCCGGGAATCTGCATTTAGTAAGCTCCCCAGATCATTCCCGGGCGCAGCTGGGGCTGAGAACCTGTCCCAGTGAGGAGGATGGCGGGCCCGGGACGGGGACGTTCCGTAGCGTTTCTCCCAGTTTCTTCTGTATTCTGGAGCCTGATGCTGGGCAGGGCGGTGCCTGGGCAGGTGACTGCTCTCCTGGGTTCTTTGCTGCTTCCCTTGGGGCGGATCTAGGTAGAACTGGGTGGAGGGAGGCGTGCCAGCTCTGCCTTGCCTTCTGCCCTTAATCGGAAAGGTTATGCCCAGTCATTTGCCAGTGTCAGAAGACTCTCCCTGTACACATTCATTTATGAAAACCGTGAAACATATAAAAGTTGTGAACACCCACAGACCACCCCCTAGAATGTAAGAATTAACATTTTATTGTATTTCATCACATATCCGTCCACCCAGTAGTCCCTCTTGTTTTTTGTGTCAAAGTAAGTTGCAGATATCAGTGCCTTTCCCTCCCAAATAAGCATACATATCATTAATTAGAGTCTTAGAATTGTTTATTGGGTTTGACTTCTTTATCTTCCGAATGGTTTTTACCTTAATGGAAGCCCTGGGTATTTAGAAACCCTTCTCTCACCCTTGAGAATTTGAAGGAGTTTGGAGGTTTTCCACAGGATGGGAGGACCAGGGAAGAGCTTTACAGGTTCTCTTACAAGGATTCATTTATTTATTTAAAGCCAGGGTCTTGTTCTGTGGCCCAGGCTAGAGTGCAGCGGTGCTGTCACATTCACTGCATCCTGGAACTCCTGGGCTCCAGCGATCCTCCTGAGTACCTGGAACTACAGGCATGTGCCACCATGCCCGACTAATTTTTTATTTTTTTGTAGAGATGGCGTGTCATTATTTTTCCCAGCTGGTCTCTAACTCCTGGGCTCAGGTGATCCTCTCGCCTCACCCTCCCAAAGTGCTGGGATTACAGGCAGGAGCTACCGTGCCCGACTTCTTACAAAGATTTAAGAGCAGCTAGCCGTGGTTCTAGAATCACCATAAGAGCAGAACATTGACTGTGTGATGTAAAGTAATACTTCAGGGAACAAAATTGTTTTGAGAAGTAGCTAACGGAATGCGTCCCAAAGGCCAGCTTGCCCCAGCAGATCACGTTGGCAGTAATTGAAGCTAGTCATCAGCTTGCAGCTCTGTGTCGGCTCGTTACACTGTAAGCTTGTCCACGTTGAACCTACCAGTTCAGTGTGTGTTTTCTAAGCTCTAGGAGAACTGGGCTGTGTAGTGCAATTGAGCTCATGGTGCTGATGGACTGGAGGCCATGGCTTTGAGACCCTTGGGCCCAGGTACTTTGTTCCTTAGCCACAAACGCCAGCCCTTAACCCTACTCAGCTGCCTGAGTGGGAGAGAAAAGAGACGCACTGTGCAAATTTGTCTCCACTTTGAGGAATGTGGTTCCAAGGGCAAGGACATGTTTTTACTCATAGAGGACATGGAAATGTGGCGGTTAAAGTTGTGGCATTTTATAGCATGTCACTGTCCTGTAGGTGGAGGAAGTGCTGGTGAGAAGGTGGCAGGCAGGGAGAGCTCTGCAGAGGACCTTGGTGCTCCATGGGGAGGATGGAGAGAGTGAGCCAGGCTGGCACTGGTGACAGGAGGTTCCCTTTCCCCCACGAGGGGACTTGGAAATAGATTACTCAAAATGGAAATGTGCTCCTTTCTAGGATCCCACAAAAAATTTGTTTCTGTCTCTGCCTAGTCAGGAGTCTCCCAGCCACAGTCTCTGTGGGAGGTGGTAGAGGCTTCCTTGCAACACAGTGCAGCAGAGGTGGGGGTGCCTAGGGCCTGTGCCAGAACCTCCCCATGCCCAGAGGGCTGTCCACTCTGGGAGACACTGATTTGGCAGCTCCTGTGGGCCTGATGGCCCCGGTCACCACTTCTCCTACTCTTTGAGTCATCAGGTAGTGGTCTGGTGACAGTGGTGGTGTCCTGGGACCAGGGCTGCCTGGATGTGGAGACTTCTCCGTCACATTGAAGCTGTGTGACAGACAGGCCTTGCTCGCCGCATCTGTGATAGGTGAAGAGCAGCACCCAGGCCACAGGAAGGCCTGCATCTGCTGTTAGTGCTGAAGAAATGAAGGTCCCCTGATGGCAGACAAAGCAAAACCAATACAAAGACTGCAGTGCAGGGTGACAGGGTCCAGCAGCATTCTGATTCTTCCCTTGAAAGTAGTTGTGATGCATTTTTGGTAATACTGTATCATTTTTCCAGAAAACATTTCTTGTCACCTTTTCAGTGCTCCTGATTTGTGGGTGAGACCTGGCTTGGTCTGTACATTGATCTAATACCATCAATTCTTACTGCAAGGAGGTGTAACGGGGTTCAGTGAACACTGGGGGTCTTCCTGAGATGTAATTGTTCAATCAGTGCTAATTAAGTCTCAATTTAAATCTAGTCCCAGTGTCTGGGTATTTCCCCCAAGAAGGAAAAGAGAACAAGGCAGGTGGAAGTAGGTACAGAAGGGTGCGAGAGTTGCCTTGGGAGGGTTTAGGGAGAATTCCAACCCATATTACTTCAGGAAGAAAGTGAGCTTGGTTGTCACAATTCTGATTAACATGCAGGCCGGGTGCCGTGGCTCACGCCTGTAATCCCAATACTTTGGGAGGCCAATGGGGATGGATCACCTGAGGTTGGGAGTTTGAGACCAGCCTGACCAACATGGAGAATCCCTGTCTCTCCTAAAAATACAAAATTAGCCGGGCATGGTGGTGCATGCCTGTAATCCCAGCTACTCCGGAGGCTGAGGCAGGAGAATCACTTGAACCTGGCAGGTGGAGGTTACAGTGAGCGGAGATTGCGCCACTGTACTCCAGCCTGGGTGACAGAGTAAGACTCTATCTGAAAAAACCAAACAAAACCCAAAAAAACCCAAAACAAAACATGCAAACAGCAGCCTCACAGGCTGGGGAAGCAGGAGGAAATGGGGTTCTTTGCAGAGTACGGCCCTGTGAACATGCTTTGTTCTCACCTGTCAGCCAGGGAGGTGGCAGCACTGCAGGACTTGGCCAGCTGAGGCAGCAGCCAGAGTGTCTAAGTGACTTGCCCATGGTTGCCAAATAATGGCAGAGAAGGGCCCACGGCTGGCCCTGAAACAGCAGGGGTGGCGCGAGAGCAGCTGCGGGAGACGTGGGCTCTCCCAGCCCCATTGTGATCATTGCGTCACGAAGTTGACTAGAATTCAAGAAATGGTGTTTTTTCCTGCCTCGATTTTTGGCTGTGAACATAAGTACTTGCCTGAGGAGGCAGTAGAGTCCATTTCGGCTGCGGCTGTGTTTTTGCCCTGGGCAGTGGCCTTTGGGTTAAGAATGGCACAGGAGGGGTTGGGTGCAGTGGCTCATGCCTGTAATGCCAGCACTTTGTGAGGCCGAGGTGGGTGGATCATTTGAGGTCAGGAGTTCGAGACCAGCCTGGCCAACATGGTGAAACCCTGTCTCTATTTAAAAATACAAAAATTAGCTGGGTATGGTGGCACGCATCTGTAATCCCAGCTACTCAGGAGACTGAGACAGGAGAATTGCTTGAACCCGGGAGTTGGGGGTTGTAGTGAGCCAAGATCACACCACTGGACTTCAGCCTGGGTGACAGAGTGAGAGACTGTCTCAAAACAAACAAAAAAGAATGGCACAGGAGGTCCACTTAGGTTAACCCCAAACCTCTGCACTCATTTCTTCAACACACATGGACCAGGTGCCAAGCAGAGCCCAACGATACAAGTGGGAGAGTCCCAGGATTCTTGAGGGGAGATAAGACAAGGGACGGAGAATCCCCTGGCAGGGAAATCCTCAGGAAGGCCCACGTTTACGGGGAAGTGGGGTGTGGGCGTGTTTGGAGGCCAGGGAAAGAGTACAGGGGTGGGCTTGGGAAGGGTGGGGGCACGAGATCGTTTGGAGGAGTGTGAGTTATGATCCGGTGGGGTCATGATAGATC